GGCCTGTACAGAGGAGATGATAGGAGTGGGAGAGATTCAGAAGAAGAAGATCAGAGATCTGAAGAAGAGACTTCAGCAGCAGAAGTTAGAGATTCAAAGCTGCATAGAAAAAGAGGAAGCTCTAAAGAGAGAGCTGAAACAAATGAAAGATATATTATCGAAGAGAAGGATGGAGAACCGAAAAGCCAGAGAGAGAGAAGAAGAACTGAGGAGAGGACTGGAGATGATGAAGGAGAGAATTTCACAGAGAGAAAGAAAAAGAGAGGAAGAAAGGAAATATCGTGATGGTTATTTTGATTTTTTACACGTTTTTAACCTCCTCACAGTCCTAAACTGTAGGGAACAGATGGACATGAAGATGCAGAGAGGGGAAAAGCTGCACCACAAAGTAGAAAAAAGGGCCTTTAGTGATGGAAACCAACAGAAGACACGTGACCAGAAGCAGGACGAGTCACGAGAGCAAGAAAAGCTAAACGGAGGAGTCCTGAGCCCAGAGCAGCCTGAAGCATCTTCATCCCTCACTGAGCCCTCCTGGCCTATTGGAGAAACCAGGGCCTTTAACAGAAACCAACACAATAATAAAGACCAGCAGCAAGACAAGCCCAGAGAGCAACAGAATCTCCAAGGATTCAGCTGGTCTGTTTCTCTAAATGGAGGAGCACTGAGCCCAGAGCAGCCTAAACTCCCAACATCATCCCTCGCTGAGCCCACCACACCTTTTAATGTGAGAGACAGTGAGGAGAATGAGGAACCTGGCTCGCAGCTTCAGTCTTTCCAGGAGCCAGAAGCAGAGGAACCGGCCTCAGAGACTCAGATAAACACAGATGAAAAGTGTGAGAACAGTCCGAGGCCACAACCGTCTGTTTTCAAGTGTTTCAGCAGATTCTGGTTGCCGAAGATCAGGATGCCAAAGCTCAGTTTTAAGGTTAGTTAATTCATTTTACTTCTGTGTCAATTATTCTCCAGAACGCCAGACTCTAGTACAGTTCTTTACTTCCTTACTCTATAAAAGATGTATTGTTTTGTGGTTGCACTGTGGTTTTTTCAAATGCAGATTTTCTCTTCTTTTTACAGAAATGGAGAAAAAGAGCAGATTAAGCGACTGTGCCATCCGTAAACAGGACCAAGAATATACCCATTCCAAATGGTAAGTATCTGAGTTTAAGTTCTAAGACTTCAATTAGGGCGAGTTAGTTATGTTTACAAAGCGTTTCAAGTATATTTATTTGAGAACGGGTTCCAGAAAGAACATTGAGTGTATTTGGTAGGGTAAACTTTGAATTTGATGGTGTTGTTGAGAGAACAAGAGGCAAATCCGTTCTGAGGCAAATCATGTAATTTGTACTAATTTAGTACCAGCAGGCTAGAACAAGTGTTCTCTGGCCTTTTTCAGTGAGCTGTGCTCATATGAATCTGTGCCACTTTATTATGTACGATATCATTTATTGACTTTTCTAAATAATAGTGGAAATCTGGGTATGGTATAACTGCACCATTGAACCAGTCTGTAATTTTTCTCAGATTTGTGGACAAGGAGCTCCTCAAAACTTGTTTGAAATACATTTTAGCGTAGTTTAATCACTGAGTAAAGCATAGGTTCATTGGAGGTGGTTGCCAGATAATGAAGTTACACTTTCATTAGGTAATAAAACAATCTGTAGTTTTTTAAGAGTTGCAAACTCTGCCTTCTCAACACAAGGCCTTTCAGCTTCACTTCAGCTTCATGATCATTTTTTTTCTTCTCTTTTTTTGGCTTTTTCAGTGTCCTAACAGCATCTTCTCACCATCAGGCCTTCTCTCAGTAACCACCCACCTCTCAGACTGATTCTGCATTAATATCCTTTTCTCCACAGTAGAAGAAGTCCAAAGTTTCCAGAAGATTCTCAATCTTTTTGTTAATGAGGTAAGTCTCCCAGTCACTGCGGCTATTTTTTTCTTCAGGTATTTCCAATAATAGAAAACTAAGTAGAAAACGTCAAACTCTAAATATATTTATTCATACGTTTAACAGTTATTTTAACGTGGAACTTTGCGTGTTCTGTCCCTCATCTCTAAACAGTGCTCAGGAAGCTCTTCAGTGTCCAGCAGCCCTTACAGAGTGGAGCGCAGACAGACATGAGGTTCTTCCACTCAGAGCACCTACTCAGAATCTTCTTGTGATATCAATAAAAATAGCTCATCTGCATGTTTCATAGTCATTTTCTGTCTACCAAATATTTACATTAGCATTATGTGGAGCGTTTCTGAGCAGTAGAGGAGTTGAGTATGTTAGGCGTTACTAAAAATGGAAAGGGGTCACAGAACAGGACAGTTATTTCACATACTCATTATATTATTACATTAGATTTTATTAAAATTCATATGCATTAGTAGTTTGTTACGTATCATTATATGAAATATAGTTAAATATTTCAATATCATAATGATGATGATGATGATTAACAATATCAATTATTAAAATACAAACCTCAATTACAAACCAGTTTGGATAGAAAACCTTTGCGGAGAGAGTCTGGTGCTGCATTAATGTGTGATTATGCTAAGAAAAGGGGATTTTTGTCTTTAAGATGAGATGCTGTTCGCTGACTACAACTCGGCATTCAACACTATTATCCCATCCAAGTGGACCCTTAAATGGACCCCCTTCTTTTGCAATAAGGTGTTGGATTTGCAAAATAAGTTTTGTTTAGAGAAAGAAGTTTAGCTGGTGTGGATCTGGTCTATAATAGAATTAGGAACTGAAAAAATAACATAAAACTCAAATAATAAAAATTAAAATTCTGTTATTGAAGAGAAAAACAACAACAAAGAAAAATCAGTTTTCCATGAAACGGGCAGTTTAGACAATGCACACTAACGGTTCTTATTTTGTTGGTACTCTTTGTAGATGAGATTTACATTTGGATACTATAGCTCATCT